CTGGAGCACTGTGTGTATGTAACACTGGGGCACTGTGTGTGTGTGTAACACTGGAGCACTGTGTGTGTGTAACACTGGAGCACTGTGTGTGTGTAACACTGGAGCACTGTGTGTGTGTGTAACACTGGAGCACTGTGTGTGTGTGTAACACTGGAGCACTGTGTGTGTGTGTAACACTGGAGCACTGTGTGTGTGTGTGTGTAACACTGGAGCACTGTGTGTGTGTGTGTAACACTGGAGCACTGTGTGTGTGTAACACTGGAGCACTGTGTGTGTGTGTAACACTGGAGCACTGTGTGTGTGTGTAACACTGGAGCACTGTGTGTGTGTGTGTAACACTGGAGCACTGTGTGTGTGTGTGTAACACTGGAGCACTGTGTGTGTGTGTAACACTGGGGCACTGTGTGTGTGTAACACTGGGGCACTGTGTGTGTGTAACACTGGTGCACTGTGTGTGTGTGTAACACTGGAGCACTGTGATTGTAACACTGGAGCACTGTGATTGTAACACTGGAGCACTGTGATTGTAACACTGGAGCACTGTGTGTGTGTGTAACACTGGAGCACTGTGTGTGTGTGTGTAACACTGGAGCACTGTGTGTGTGTGTAACACTGGAGCACTGTGTGTGTGTGTGTGTGACACTGGAGCACTGTGTGTGTGTAACACTGGAGCACTGTGTGTGTGTGTGTAACACTGGAGCACTGTGTGTGTGTGTGTAACACTAGAGCACTGTGTGTGTGTGTGTAACACTGGAGCACTGTGTGTGTGTGTGTGTAACACGGACGGGCAACTCTGTCGTGGACAGCGCTGTGGGGGGAGATCCAATTTTGATTGGCTCCTCCCCTCATGGCATATGTGTCCACCACAGGGGCTAAACGGGGGCTCTGGACGGGTGCGAGGGGCTGGTAACCCCTTCACCTTCAATTAATTACCACGAAACCACGAATTAAACTGAAATATGTAACAACTAAGCTTGTGCCGGAGGCCCCGGGGGGCCAGGCGTCTATGACGTCTCCTGGCCAAACCTCAATTGGCGGAGCCAGGAGATTGAATACCTACCCTCGGGGCTACTCCAGAAACAACGAAAAGCCACTACGGGTGGCCACGTGGAATGTTCGAACGCTCACTGCAGAGGAGAGGCTGCCACTCCTCTGTCGGGAGCTGGACCGGTACCGCCTGGATCTATGCGGCATTCAGGAGGTCCGGTGGACCGGCTCTGGCTCCTGCCACCATGAGGGGTGGACAGTCCTCTACTCGGGGCAGCAGACTGCCAAACAACAGGGTGTGGGTCTTCTTTTGAACAAAAGAATGAAGGGGGCGTGGGAGCGTGGCGGTGAGGTGTGGGAAGCTGTAAGCCCCAGGCTACTTTGGGCTCGCCTTCCCATCAACCGGAGGCGAGGAATGGTGGTCGTGGTTACTTATGCCCCCACCGAAGATGAACATCCGTGGAGGGATGCAGGCAAAGCCGATGAGTCAGATGCCTTCTATGACCTCCTGTCACAGGTGCTGGCTAAAGTGGCCCCTCGGGATAGAGTCATCATGTTGGGTGACTTCAATGCCCGAGTTGGTCATGATGCTGGCACCTGGTCTGGAGTGATTGGAGGGCATGGGCCAGATCAGCTCAATAACAATGGTAGGAGGCTGCTAGATTTTTGTGCAGCCCATGGGCTTGTAATTACCAACACGCTGTTCCGGCATCGGCGCATCCACACAACATCATGGATGCATGCCGGGTCCAAGCAAGAACATCTGCTGGACTACATAGTGACGGACCAGCGAATGCGAGCCCATGTCCTTGACACCAGGACCTACCGTGGAGCTGATCTGCCCTCTGACCATCGACTAGTCATCTGTAAGATGCGCCTGCCATTCTTCCACTCCGGTGGTGGGTGTACACCCAGGACCCCATTCCAACCTAAAGTGGCCTGGTCTCAGTTATCTGATGAAAGTTGCAAGCGAGAATTTCATCATCGCTTGCGGCTGGGATTGGCATCGTCCCCGACTCCTCCTGATGTCGAGGGTAAATGGGCGAGGTTTAGGACTGTGACTCATGCAGCTGCAATGGCTGCTTTGGGTACGCGGTCCAGACCTCCCCAGACACCCTGGCTGACAGAGGAGTTGTTCAGGATGGTTGAGAAAAAGCGACAGGCCCACTGTCATCGGCTACAGAATCCCACGTCAGAGAATGAGGAGGCTTACCGCAGCCTTCGCTCGGAGGTTCGGAGAGCCGTGAGGCGCTGCAAGGATGGGTGGTGGTCGCGGGTTGCTGAGGAGATGGAGTCTGCCTCAGTGGCCCGTGATCACAAATCTCTATTTAACTCCATCAAAAAAGTAACCTGCAGCGCCACACCTATTACCATCATTAGGGGAAAAAACGGTGATCCAATTTCCGACCCCCAGGAACAGGTTCGCAGATTTGCTGAGCATTTCTGTGAGGTCCTGGGGGAGGGAAAATCCCTCAGCCAGGAAAACATCTTGGCACAAAGTGAGGATGACCCTGCTGAGGCTGCGGTGCCTCAAATATTGGATGAAGTCACCCCCTGTGAGTGGCTGGCTGAGGTTCAATCTGCTGAGGAAGTATTGAAGGCGATCCGGAGTCTGAGACCAGGAAAGGCAGCGGGCAGAGATGATTTCCCAAGCGAAATGCTGAGGGAGGGTGGCGTTTGTGCACAGACTGCCCTATATGACATCATAACAACAGTCTGGACCACTGGACGGGTTCCGCAGGATTGGAAGGATGCCCTGGTGGTCCCCCTTTTTAAGAAGGGGGACCGCACAGACTGTAACAACTACAGGGGCATCTCACTCCTCAGTGTGCCAGGAAAGGTCCTGGCAAGGATTATTCAGCATCGCCTTGCCAGGCACGCTGAGGAGAGGCTTGCGGAGCCCCAATGCGGTTTCAGGAAAGGGCGGTCCTGCACAGATGCCATATTTTCTGTCCGTCTGCTACAGCAGAGGTGTAGGGAATTCCAACAAGACCTACATCTCTGCTTTATTGACCTGGTCAAGGCCTATGATACCATCAGTAGGCCTGGGCTCTGGGTCGTTCTTCGTGCTTTTGGAGTACCTGACCCTCTGCTCACGATCATTAAGGACCTTCATGATGGTGAGCGGGCCCGGGTAAAACTACGTGGCCGGGAGTCAGAGCCATTCCCTGTACACCTTGGGGTGCGACAGGGATGTCCTCTGGCTCCCACATTATTTAACATCTATTTTGACCACGTAGTTCGTGAAGCCTTCAATAGCTGTACCGGGGGAATCTCCATATGGTACAGATATAATGGGAGGCTAATCGATGCCCGGGTGCGGTCAAGGGATGGCTCCCTATTGCTCAACCACGTTATGTATGCTGATGATTTGGTAATAGCTGCTCAGTCAGAGGAGGAGTTGGAGACGCTGCTGCTGAGACTGGAGCGTGCCACTAAGAGGTGGGGCCTTACCATCAGCCCCACCAAAACTAAGCACCTGCCTGGGTATTTTGTACCATCGGACACTCCACCCCCACAACTCCCAATCGGTGATGGGGCAGTTGTGGAGAGAGTGGAGAGTTTCCCATACCTGGGCAGTGTGCTTATGACTGGCTCCAGTTTAACAGCAGAGGTCTCACTCCGAATCAGTCGAGCGGCAATATCTTTTCATCGGTTGCGTAACGCTGTGTGGAAGCTACCTGGTCTGTCGCTCCGCACTAAGCTTCAGGTCTTCTCGGCCACGGTCATTCCCTCCCTTCTCTACGCCTGCGAAACGTGGACCCCCCTGGTGGAACATCTTCGCCGGTTAGAAACATTTAGGCTGGCCTGCCTACGATCCATCCTGGGTTTAACCAGACTGGATTGTGTGAGGAGCTCACAAATCCTTGAAAGATCTGGGCAGGGTCCCATCGGTGAGCTCCTCCGGCAGGCAAGGCTGCGATGGCTGGGTCATGTAGCCCGCATGCCCAGCCACCGCATGCCGAAACAGCTTTTGTTTGGCCGGATTGAGGGGGCTAAGCGGGCGCGGCACGGGCTAGAGAAGAGATGGAGTGATGTGGTACAGGAGGACGTGGAGCTGAGTGGACTTGCCGATGACTGGTACCAGCGGTGTCAAGAACGGCCTCTGTGGAGGAGGCTCGTGAAGGATGCTACTGGGCAGTTGGAGGCAGTCGCCCTCCAACAACAACGGAGGGCGGAGGAGCGACGCTCACAACAACGAGTGGAACGCCGGGTGGCTAAAGCACAGCAGGTTGGCACAGTAGGGGGCACAGGTGGTGCATCAGCCAGTCATCTCAGTCAGTCGACCCGTGGCACCTGGGTCTGCCCAGTGACCTCCTGCCAGCGGGCGTTCGACACTTCACGTGGCCTCACGGTGCACATAGCCTGGCACAAGCGTCGTGGTGACGTCACCGCCAATTAGTGGCGAATGGCGGTTGTTGTTGTAACACTGGAGCACTGTGTGTAACACTGGAGCACTGTGTGTGTGTGTAACACTGGAGCACTGTGTGTGTGTAACACTGGAGCACTGTGTGTGTGTGTGTAACACTGGAGCACTGTGTGTGTGTAACACTGGAGCACTGTGTGTGTGTAACACTGGAGCACTGTGTGTGTGTGTAACACTGGAGCACTGTGTGTGTGTGTAACACTGGAGCACTGTGTGTGTGTGTAACACTGGAGCACTGTGTGTGTGTGTAACACTGGAGCACTGTGTGTGTGTGTAACACTGGAGCACTGTGTGTGTGTGTAACACTGGGGAGCGGCGGTGCAGTGGTTAGCGCACTCCGGTACGAATCCCCCGACCCGGATATCTGAACCGGTCCTCATCCTTCCCTAGGTCAACTCAGCCTTAAATCGGCACTGGGGAGGTAAAAAAACGGCGGAAATGTTGTTGTCCACTCGCCCTCTCGGGTGCCACGCCGGTCTCAATAGCTGCTCGCAAACAGCGCTTGCCCCGAGCAGTCTGTTGAGGCTGCACGGGGTCGAGTCTCTGTCTTGACGCGAGAGCGGCGTGTGCACGTGCGTCCGTCTAGCACTGGAGCGCCTGGGTCTGGCGGGCAGCATGGGCGAGCTGCGCGCGTGTCACGCCGAGTTCCGTGCGCTGGCGCTGTCTCGCCGCCGCCGCGCCACCCGTCGCCTCGAGGCGCTTGGCGTGCCGGAGCCGGAGCTGCTGCGCCAGCAGCAGGCGCTCATTGAGCAGGCGAGGCGCGAGCTGTTACCCCCCACACCCCCTCCCCCCCGGACCCTTTCCCCCGCAACGCGCGTGCAGTCCCATCACCGTCGTTTACGCTCGAGTATTTAGCACGTTGTGCCGAGTGGCACTCGGTCGCGTGCACAATGCGCGTGATGCTACTGTGCGAGGAGGTACACTAATAAAGCAAACGAGAAGCAACCTCCTCTGTTTTATTAGCAGCGTCATGGCGCTCACGTTGGCGTGAATGCGGTCGTGTTAGCATGGAGCTGCATGTGCAACACGAGTGTGTGTGCTAACCCTTTCCCGTTCCGAGGCGACTGCAGGTTGCAGGCTGGGATGTCCCGTTCACTGGTAAATCTCGGAACGCGTAAGCGGTTGGTTTTATTTGGAGAGGCGGCGTAGCGCCGTTGTTTTTCAAGACATTGTAGTCACCGTAGAGAACTGTAGCGACACGACCGCACTCTACAATCGCTGGCGCCAAACTGTGCCACACGCCCTCCCGCATGGCCTTGTGGAAGCTTCGATACCGATAAAAGTTCTTTCATCTTCGTTTTTCTTCTGGTTACGTACATGATGACGTACTTGTACGCCATCGGAATGGGCAAGCGGCTGACGCCGTTATCACAGCACCAGGAGCACAGAACTCTCCTTTAGCCGCAAACGCTCATGTTTCAGAATGTTGTGATCAAAACAGCAAACGTTAACGGTGTAAAGGAGTACACGGCAAAGTGGAACCGTGCTCTTTATGAAGCCAACCCACACCACGACGCTTCGAGCAAGCAGAATCGCAAAGGCACATTTAGTCCTCGGACCTAAGAGTTCTCAACCCATTCCTCTCTCCTGACCAATGCCACTTGAATCTCCCCAAGGGGTTTTGTTTTAGCGGACCCCAGTTTTACCAATTTAATTTCCCCAGGGTTTTGTACTCTTCACCTTCCCTGGCAAATCAAAAGGTGAGCGGCCTCGCACTACGCAAATCGGGCAAACGCTCGTTGCAAGCTCGTGTAAACCTGGCGCTTCGCAAGCCCCTGTCCGTGACAGCGGGCGATGGGGAAAATGCTCCGCATTTTAAATGATCAGTCGTTAACCTGTCGTGGGCTGGAGTGTTCTCATTATTAACCAATTGGGTAAGGTTTGTGTGAGCGATTTATATGGAGCTCATATTTGTCTACTCAAAATTCGCCGTATGCAGTTTGAATTTACTCATATGCGGCTATGCGGTCTGACGTGGTACAACATTGTCTGGACTGAATGTGCTACCCAGCAGGCTATGCGGTCAGACGTGGTACAACATTGTGTGGACTGAATGTGCTACCCAGCAGGCTATGCGGTCTGACGTGGTACAACATTGTGTGGACTGAATGTGCTACCCAGCAGGCTGTGCGGTTGGACGTGGTACAACATTGTGTGGACTGAATGTGCTACCCAGCAGGCTGTGCGGTTGGACGTGGTACAACATTGTGTGGACTGAATGTGCTACCCAGCAGGCTATGCGGTTGGATGTGGGACAACATTGTGTGCTCTATGTACTGTGTGTACCATATTCTACTACTCTGCACGCAGCGGTCATCGTGCGGTTTCGCTTTGTGCGCCGTTTTATTGGAAGGCATTTACCGGATGAAGCGAGGGAAGCCTGCACTCGGGTACTGGGCGATTCTGGCTGGGTGGCGTTGCGTCTTGGCACCCTATTCACAATTAGAACGGCATGAGTTTAAATCTCAGCTGAGGGTAAATTCAGCCAATCATCCCTCTGGGAGTTAATACATTCAGTGATTCTTCGTGTTTTTTCGTGAGAATTCAAGGTGGTTGTTATCCAGCGGGCTGGTCCATACCGTATACCTGGTAAACATGGAACATTAGGCTGACGTTTGGCGATCGTTTGTCCAACAGTTCCAACCACATGCCAATGTTTGCCCAACGTTAATATTTACTGGGTGAATGACATTTTCCCTGCCAGCTCAGGACTGCCAATGAGTTGGATGAGCTGTGTACAGACGTGTTTTGAAGGGTTTTTTTTTTAAATAATCCTTGGAACATTGATTTATAATCCCTGGAACATTGATGCAACAAGTGCATTGACCTTCAAGTTGACCATGCATAATGATAATTGTTTGAGCAAGGTCAGTTAATCCAATGCAGGCCATGGACTTGTGCGTGCCTGAGTGTGCTCATGCCATGGACTCGTGTGTATGTTGAACTTCTTTCGCACCGTACATAGCCAACCGTGCTAATTGGAGGTGCAGGGAACTTGTGTGTGTGTGTGGGGAGCGATAGTGTAGCGGTTAGCGCGCTGCGCTATGAACCTGGCGACCCGGGTTCGATTCCCGCTCACGGCCAACACCAGTGACCATTATCTGAACCGGTCCCGGGCCTCCCCTAGGTCGACTCAGCCTCAAATGAGTACCTGGTGCGGTGTGTAAACATCGCCACTGGGGAGACAAAGGCGGCCGGGCGTGGTGTTGGCCACCCACCCCCTCGTGTGCCGTGCCGGCCTTCATAGGTGCTCGCTAACAGCACTTGCCCCTACAGTCTGTTAAGGCTAAATGGGGGATCTTTATCTTTGTGTGCACGCAAACCACGGACACGTGCGTGCCTGCGTGTGTGCAAGCTACGGACTCCTGCCTGTCTGCGTGTGTGAGTGTCTTTGTGTGTTTGCGTGCGTGTTCGTGCGTGTGTTTGCGTGTCTGAGTGTCTGAGTGTCTGCGTGTGTGTGTGTCTTTGTCTCTGTGTCTCTGTGTGTGCGTGTTCGTATGTGTGTTTGCGTGTGTGCCAGTGTCTTTGTTGTGTGTCTATCTGTGTGTGTGTGTGCACGCAGGTCCGGCAAGAGCAGACAGAGGTGGCTCAGCGCGACTGGCTGCAGATCCAGCGCGCCGCCGAGCAGGCCCAGCGCAGCTCCACCGCAGACAGCCCCGGCGAGTCCTCGGGGACCGAATACGTCATCGACGAGGACGACGATGATGACATCACAGACGACTAGACTGCGATGCCATCATTGTGCGCGAGGGAACTGGGCGGAAGACGCGCAGCGGCTGCGTGATGCCGAGTCGTTTTTGTTAATTTGGTTAGTGATAGCTTTCGAAAGTCTGACCAGGACGTGACGGTCCGCACGGTGGTGGTTTTCTCGTGCAGCGCAGCTCGACGCGATCGTTTGCAAATTACCCGTAGGGAATTTAACCGTCGGATAATTGCAAAGCAGCCCATCGGTGTGAGGCAAGTGTGTGACGTTCACTCAATACACGCAAGTGTCTCTCGTGAAGCAAGACTCGGCGAAACAATAGCGTGCAGTCGAGCAAGTACAGACGACACGGGTGCCTAGATATTGAGCACCGGTAGGATGGTCTAAACATGACAAACAGTAAAAGCTTAACACTCATTCGTGACGATCGATGAAATCGCACGTAGGGGGAGGGTAAATTGTCACATGCTTACCGTTTACTAGGTGATTAGTCACGAACCGTTCGCTGAACAAGCACTAAGAGACTGGCGCACGCATGCCTGTAGACACATGGGGGTGTGTACGTATGTATGTAAAAAAGTAATAAATGAAAACCCACAAATTAACAGAAATCTATGGGGTAAAAAAACCCCCACGTGTTTCTTGTGCAGGCATCTCGCTTGAGTGACCCGATGGAGTGGTGCCACCCCAAATGCGTTGGCTTCCCTCTGCATTACATCTAAGTGACGTGCAAGTCAACGTTTGTGAAATATCCACAAAGGCCAAGTTGAGATTCCAATGGCAGTCCCCCGTTCAGTGAGTTTCCCCTCTCTCCGATACATCAATCGGAGCGTTCACGCAGCTTCTGGCAGCGGTCCTGGAAGTTTTCAGCAGGAGCGTTCCTACTGCATTGTTGCCTTTACTTTCACGCCTTCTGTCTTCACCGTCGCTTGTTCGGGGAGAGCGTGTTGCTCAATGCGTCTTCTGCCTAGGCCGCTTGTGTAAATTCAAGCCGAGAACGGTCGTGGGGCGTGCGTTTTTAGTCCGGCAGTGCGGAGGCAGCGACGGTTGGTGGATCGCGCGTGTTGAGAAACTCTGTGACGTTCGTTACGTTCAAGATGAGACTTAAAAACAAGACTATTGTTGAGCAGGGTCCTATGTTGGGATGTTTGGCCAATTCCATGCAAGGCCGTTTGGCAGGAAACCAGAGCACTTGGAGAATGTGCATGCATGCGCGTTGAGAACACTCGGAGCTCAACCCAAATTGACTCCTCGATACATTGCCGTGTTTCCATCACTAAACTACTGCAGGTGTTCCAGCAAAAGAGACGGGGGAAAGTTTTGCATTCAAAGGCAAACATTTGTCATTAAAATGTTAGTGTTGGACAAGCGCTATTATCAAGCACATGCTGACACTGTCATTTACGTTTTTGAACGAGCGGAATGATGAAGCCGACCAGTAGCTCGGGCTTGCTACCATTTCCTATTGAATCGGAACATTGCTAGGACCTTTTTGCTTGATAAATTGTCTGCTTTGAATGTCCACACACAGGCAACAAGAACAACTGCCATTTGCTACGAAGTGGCGGTGACGTCACCACAGCACCTGTGCCAGCCTATATGCACTTTAAGGCTACGTGAAGTGTCAAACGCCTGCTGGCAGGTCATGGAGAGATCCAGGTGCCATGGGTTGACTGGCCGATGCACAATCTGTGCCCCCTACAATGCCAAATTGCTGTGTTTTAGCCGCCTGGCGCTCCACTCATTGTTGTGAGCGTCACTCCTCTGCCCTCCTTTGTTGCCGGAGGGCGGTTGCCTCCAACTGCCCCGTAGCATCCTTCACGATTCTCCTCCACAGAGGCCAATCTTAACACTGCTGGTACCAGTTATTGGAAAGTCCATATCCTCTTGCACCACATAATTCCATCTCTTTTCGAGCCCGTGCTGTGTCTGTTTAGCCCCCTTTATCCAACCAAACAAAAGCTGTATGGGCATGTGTGCTCCATGACCCAGCCAACGCAGCCTTGACTCCTGGAAGAGCTCACCGATGGGACTGTCCAGATCTTTAGAGGATTTGTGAACTCACAAATCCAGCCTGGTTAAACCCAGGTTGATCGTAAGCATGGCAGCCTGAATGTTTCTAACTGGCGAAGATTAGAGGGTCTACATTTCGCAAGCATAGAGAAGGGAGGACATGACTGTGGCCGACAGAACCTGAAGCTTTGCATGACCGGGTAGCTTCCATACAGCGTTACATTGCCGATGAAAAGGTAATGCCGCTCGGCTGATTCGGAGCGACACCTCTGCTGTCAAACTGGAGCTGGTTTTTGCACACTGCCCAGGTATGGTGGAGTGTTTGATGACACAATACCCAGTCAGGTGCTTAGTTTTGGAGCGGCTGATGGTAAGGCCTCGCCTCTGGATAGCACGTTCCAGATTCAGCGGCAGCGTCTCCAACTCCTCGGTGAAAAGCAATGACTAGATCATCAGCATACATAATATGGTTGACCAATAGGGAACCATCTCTCGACCGCACCGGAGCATCGATCAGCATCCCTTTGTATCTGTACCAGATGGAAATTACTCCGGTACATCCATGGAAAGCTTAAACTACGTGGTCGAAAAAGGTGTTTAAATAATGTAGGGGCCAGAGGATAATAATGTCGCACCCCAAGGTGAACAGGGAATGGCTCTGACTTCAGGCCTCGTCGTTTTACCCGGGCCCGCTCACCATCATGAAGGTCCTTAATGATTGTGAGCCGAGTGTCAGGGACTCCGAAAGCATGAAGAACAACCCAGAGCCGAGAGGCCTCTTGATGGTATTATAGTGCCTTGACCAGGTCAATAAAGCCAGAATGAGTTGGAAGTATCCATGGTTTACCCCGCCATGCGCCAGAAGTCGGCAGTGTCGTGAGCGAGCCATAGCCAAGCCTTGTACTATTATTGTAAGTGTGGGATTACTCTCCAACACACAACCGGTGTGCTGAATTAGTAACGAATTGCCATGTTTTGTTTACGTGACTAACCTTACTAATTGGTTGTGTCGGGTGGGTTTGACGACATAATTATATGATCTAACCCAAACAAAAACCTGTATTGTGTACGCTTGCTGTTGGTTGTGGCTAGTGTTGTTATTGTAGTGGTGTCGGTTTGTTGGTGGTAATTGTGGTTGATGTTAGTGGTGGCTGTTGGTGGTAATACTTTAATATTGATCATGGTGGTGGTTGACGTTAGTGGGCAGCGGTAATGTAGCAGTTAGTGTGCCGCGCTACAAACCCGGCGACCCGAGTTCTATTCCCGTTCACGGCCAACACCGGTGATGATAATCTAGACCGGCCTCCCCTAGGTCGACTCAGCCTCAAATTAAGACAAAGGCGATCGGGCGTGGTTGTTGGCCACCGACCCCTTCGTGTACCGTGCCGGCCTTCATTGGTGCTCGCTAACAGCACTTGCCCAAACAGTCTGTAAAAGCCATACGGGGGATCTTTGTCTTTGGTTGACGTTATAGGTCGTGGTGTTAGTTGTTGGTGGTGATGGTTGTTGTTGATGGTAGTAGTGGTTGTTAGTCGTCATTGTAAGTGCCTTGGGTTTAGCTGGTGGCTGGTGGTGATTATTGTTCGTTCTGGAATTGGGCTTGTTGTTGTCGTGGTGTTTTGTGCTAGTCGTGTGCTGGTGGTGGTAGTTTGTTGTCGGGGGTATTGTTGGTTGTTTGTTTTAGTGGTGTCTGTTGGTGTTGTGGTAGTAGCGGTGGTTTATTTCTGTTGATTGTTGGTGGCTTCGTTCGTGTGGTGGTGGTTGTAAATGGTGGTTGCTGTTGGTTGTGGAGTTCTTTTTGAGGTAATTGTTGTTGGTTGTGTAGTTGTCGTTGAGGTGATTGTTGTTGGTTGTGGAGTTGTTGAGGTGATTGTTGGTTGTGGAGTTGTTGAGATGATTTGCTTGTCAGCTTCGATGTAGTCTCTGTTCACCAAGGTACCTGTACCTGACACGATAGCAATCATTGAAGACTTGGTCCAACAGGGACTGAATCCTGATGTACCAACTTTGGTGAGGCGCTGTCTTACCAACACTTACTTCATCTGGAATGGTACATTCTACAAACGAAATGAAGGCACCCTTATGGGCTCTCCCTTATCACCAGTGGTAGCGAATGTCTTCATGGAGAAATTTGAAACAGATGCCATCCTGACATCCACCCTACGTCCTTCCCTGTGGAAGAGATACGTAGATGACACTTTCGTCATCTGGCCACATGGCCAGTCAGCACTGAACCAGTTTTTCAACCACATAAATTCCATACACCCATCTATCAAATTCACCA